TTTTTCTTTGTTGAAGTTCTGCTGTTTGAAGGAAACTTTTTTTTCTTCTTTAATTCATATTCCATTTACTTTATTTTCTATCTTTAAAAATTTTCCAATTTGAAGCCTGTTGTCTAGAAGATCATTTAAAAATTGTTAGTTGAAAATAATTAATTGGGTAGAATATGCTCATGGCCGTAAAGGTAGGTAGCCTATTCCTTGGAAATAATTTCTTTAAAACTTATATACTTTCACAATATAAAACAACACGATAATATGAAAGTTATAAACAAAATAATAATATGATAATAATTTGTTATACATTGTTGTATATTCCAAAAGTAATTTTGAATACTTAAAAAAAAAAAAGAAGTAGTTAGGATTATTGAGACATGGTTGGATTTTTAAAAAATTATAAATATATAGTAGTTAGGATTCGAACTCGCGACATTTTACATTTTAATTGAAAAGAAGTCCTTTGACCAGTTGAATTATATTCAAATTGGCCGGAAAAAAATCATATAAACTACTTTGAACTAATAAATAAAAAATTCTAATCTCTCCAAAATAAGTCCTAAATACCTTATTAGTATTTCTCTACCATTTCTTGACTTTTTTGTTTACTTTCTCATGGTTTTTTAAAATACTAATTAATATCTATTGCCACTGCTAGATATTGAAATTTACAAAAATATTAATATAGTGATGAAAATTATTCCATAACTACGACATCAATGGAATGTTAGCTAGACTTGTTACTTCTGAAAATTATATTAGACTAATTAAATTTAATACATACGAAAATATCCCATTAAAGTTTATGGATTATTTTCAGTAATTTTTTAAAAAGTATTATCTAAAAATAATTGTTTGATTGCTGACTAGACAGACAGATATTAGTTGAGATGCCAAATGGACAAAGGCGAAGCACTTAGAATCCGAATGGAGATGCCACGTCCACTTTCTTACTAGCTAAGAAAATACCACGTGGCATTTTCTTTTGCAATCAATCCTTGGAAATTTCTTTTTCCCTTTTATTAACCTTTAACGGCCATTCAATTTACTTTCATGTCCCGTCAGTCCCACCAGTTATACGGCCACAACTATGTCGCCATCAATCATGTGCCACGTGGCTGCTGATCACCACTATTATGTGAAGATGTAGACAAATATCGTCCGGGTTAGTGTAATTTACATTAAATTACAAATTTAGCCTTTACATCGAAACTTTAATTTTGATTCGAACAAAATCGAAGTTTCAATTTAGTTTATATGATTTTGATTTAGCTTTCATTTGGCTCCCATAATTTAATTTTTAATTTCTATTTGGTTCTTATAAATTGGTAATTATAACCTCACAAGTCGTTGTTAAATTATATTTTATCCGATCGAAAATCTACCTATTTTCTTTTATTTTTTTACTACACCTTTAACTTTAATACTCTCAACTAAAATGATTACTCAAATAGAAAACTACTAGGTGAAAATATAAATGATCAATATGATAATGATAGGAACGATTTGTAAAGTTTGACTACATAAGATCAAATTAAAACTTTTTAAATTTTAAAAACTAAATTGAAAATTTTAAAATTATAGAGACAAAATTCAAACTTTAAACTATAATAATCAAATTTATAATTTAACCTCAAAATTATCCTACTATTAATATTTTGGGAGGAAAATTGCAAAAATCACCCAAAACTAAAATCAGGAGAGGTCGTAATTGATTTTTTTTTAATGTAACAAATAGTATTGAGATTTGAAAATATACGAGCTTTCATAAAAGTTACAAATATCTCAATTAATTGAATTATGCTTTTAAGGGACAGTTTTCTTAAATTTTTAATTTGATTAATTACCTTCCAACCTAATAATTTTTATTTGCAAATATACAACCTTATGAAATCACAGCAAGCAAACTTTCTCGTTTATGAAATTTATTAATTGAAATTTTTTTTTTGAGAAAATATTAATTGCAATTTAAAAATGCATAAACCGCCCTTATTATTATTAAACTCTATGAGCTTTCTCTAATTATACCCTAAAATTTCAACCACTAATATAATTTATGGATAATTAATGCAGTTTAAAATTTTTTAATCTTATTATTATTATTTTACCTTTTGGATAAATGGAGTGTATGTGTGTATATATGACCTAGCTTCAAAAAAAAAAATTAATGCAATTATATATATATATATATATATATTATCTTTATTATTATTATTATTATTATTTTACATTTTGGATAAATGGGGTGTGTGTATATATGACCAAAGCAAACATAGCTAGCGGTAATTGACGTATATCTCCAACCACAAGGTTGTGAGTTTGTCCCCCACCCCACATGTATCAAAAAAATAAATCTAAAATTTTAAATTGAGTTGATTTATATATTTATTTAAGTTAGTTTTGATTTACATAAATGAAATCTTTATTAAATTGAGTTTGCCCACAAGTTCTTTTCGATTTAATTCAAATTAGTTTGAATTAAGCTGAATTAACTCCCATTTATCATTCATATGAATCGAATTCTAAATCGGTGTGACGCTGCTGGATGCTTCTGATCAATAGTTGTAATTTATGCTATAAACGTTCACTAGGTATCAATTTAGGTTCCATTTTTTTAAAAGATTTTAAAAAAAAGAAAATATTACTTAAAAAATAAAGAAATAAGATTTGAAACCTATATAATTGGAATAACAACACAATGAATCATGAAAGGAAAAAACAATTTTTTCCTAATACAACAAATGTAGAGAGGGAAGATCGAACCTTCGACCTCTAAAAAAGAAACAGAACGCCTTAATCAATCATTAAACTATGTTTAGATTGACAATTATTATTTATTATTTTGAATTACTTTAACCAATAATTATATAATTCAATACATGTCCTCAATCAACATCTAAGTTACTTATCAATTATGTAATTTAGTTCTATTATCATAGATCAAGGGAGGTAATGATCAATGTTCTAACCACTAGTTTAGGTTCAAATTTGACTCTAAATTACAATAGTTTTAGATTCTATGAATAGTATTATTGAATTTGTTGTATGTGTTACACCTTGAAACCATAAAGTTAATATAACAATAAGAAATTAGATTAATTAATTTTCTAAACCTTTTATAAAGTTTATATTTAGAATATAAATAAAAAGTAAAGGAAAAGGCACTCACTTTTGTTTAGTGGTGAGCAGTTATAGAAATAGTCATTGTAGAAGTTGACATGATTTATTAAGCATATAAATTATATATTTATGTAATATCTTCTCAATTCAAAACTCTTAAAAGTAACTCACTGAAAACACATATAATATATATATTCATTAATTTGTGTCTATTCTTTTTCTTTTTCTTTTTAATTTGATATGATATTATTGGATAATTTTATATGTTAGAAATGAAATATGCCTCTTCACATGAGAGAGACATACAATTTTTCTTTTTTAAATCTTTGTCTTAGGAGTTTAATTTATTTTAAGTTCTTTTTTTTAACAACATATAGGATGGAGGATAAACTTATAACCTCTTATTAGAGATATATGTTAATTATAATTGAATTATACTCGCTTTGGACTTAATTTATTTTAAGTTTTAAGTTTATTATTTTGTGTGAAATCAATATAACAATATTACAATTAATTAATTAATTAATTATCATGACATCAACATGAAAATAAGATAAAGTTATTTTTATGATCCAATTATACCCTTATCCAAAAATAAAATTGTTATATAAAAAAAGAATGTCAAGTGGGAGAATTTTTCGATTGCGCACCAATAAGAAACCCTAAGTCCTATGTTCTTCCTCAAAATTTTAGGAGTTTTTATTTTTATATTCTAAAATATTTTGTGTAGTTATTGTTCTCTTTCTTTCTTTTCCTTGTCATTAAAATTTCACAGAGCATCATCGAACATAAAATATAGGCTAAACACCCATTTAATATATATATATATATCAATTGATGTCATGTCACATGAAATTCCTATTAAATATAGTAAAGAAATTGACCCAGACATATTTTTAAATATATAAGTTAAAAGATCCAAATATTTCGAAACAAACATAGTTTAGTAATTAAGACATGTTGCTATTTTTCTTGACGTCCAAAATATCTTTATTATATTAGAAAAACTAAAGATTAAAATATAACATCTTAAAAAATAAAAGTAAACTAGAGTCCAAAATAGAATTTAATAATATATCTAGATATAAATTGTTTGATTAGAACATAACAAAAGCAAATGAAGACAGAGTTAAATCCAAGTTGCCAAACATATCTTGTGAAATGATTTGTATGTTATGTTTTATATGTGCTTTGTTTGAGCCAAGGATCCATAGGGCTCCACAAAAGAAAACATTAATTAGCCCATCTCTCTAATCTCCAATGAATTTTGAAATAATTTGAAGCATAACTCCAAATGGCAATAATTTAAGATTTTGGAAGGAAGATATGATAATTCATCCAATAAGAGTGGGGTTTTTTGCCCTTTAATTGGAGCTTTTTCTTGCTTGCAAAGGCTTGAGAAATTAAAGTGGATGGGTCTCTTCAAATTCATGGGAGTTTATGCTTCAAAGTTCAAAGTGCTCTCTAAAATCTAGTTATATTTATTAATTAAACTTTCTTTTTCTTTTGAATATATCTTTGTTTTGTCCTCACTAACATCTTGCTTCTTTTTTTTTTTCCCCTAAAATGAAGAAATTTTAGTCATGAATGAAGGGTTACAAATTTTTATAAAAGAAGTTCATTGTATGCTAGTGTACGAGTCATATGACTAAACTATCTTTGTTTATGCATAGGTCCGTTTGGTAATGTTTCTCCTTCTTATTTATGTTTCTTCATTTTTAACTAATAAAACTGAATTGAACAGTCCCAATATCCATAAATTCAAGTATGATAAAATAAATTTTTTATTTATGTTTTAGAAAGCAAACTGGAAACGGAAACGAAAACCAGGAAGAAGAAAAGAAACTTGTTTTGGTTGTTTCTAAAATTAGATACAGAATGCTCTAAAAAAAAGAAAAGAAACAAGAAACATGTTCCAAAATAAAACTTCCTAAGAAAATTAGAAAAAAAAAACAACAAATCCTTAATTTTCCCAAAATAGCCACATAACTCTTATTGGCTTTTAAATAATATTATAAGAAAATCCCTAGGGTCAGAGAGCAATAATGTACCACCACATCAGGTAATTGTATTTCCCTCGCTCCTCTCTTCTAATCTAACGCAATCTCTATGATAAACTAAATAGACTATTGCTATTTTTCAGTCAAAAATTGATCAAAGCACTCAAATCCAAATCCATGAGTCTTGCAAAATAGAGGACTAGAAGTCTGGTGCCAAAATAAGCTCTCAATCCTAGTTCTCGAATTCGAATCGATAATTGAATTCGTGGTACCTCTTATTACCGTTTCCTTAGGTATTTTAAAGACGAGCGAAAGTAGTTGTAACTGCATGAAGATCGCACACGTAATCATACCACGAGATCTTCGATGTGGAATTCGCTTAGATGGTTAGTACCAACCGTGCAGTTGGACAATTTTCATCTAAGACATGAAGTGTTGCTCGATGATATGAAGTTTAGTTCGACCATTTAATTTGTAGTTCGCATGCGCATAATTGAGCTCCTTTGAGTGATGACACATGTCAAGTTCGGAATTCATCCTTCATCATTAGTCCCTACCTCGAGAAATTTATAAAGAATTTTAATTTTTACGAAGTACCATTTGGAGGAACGTGTGTCATTACAAGTAGATCCACAAGCTACACGTATTTGCTATAAATCTCTGACTGTACATATCAATGGTCTGAGATGACCTTCTCGAAATCAATAGCATACGTTATCATTTCTTAGGATGAAAAAAAAATCTCTATCAAGTACATTTATGTACTTTTAGTTTGTGAAAAATAAAGATCAAACAAATGAGATTAGAAAGTTACAAAATGGGCATAAATCGGAGAAACAATATTCAATATGACTGCCACTTTTACGATTGTTTCATACTCGAGATCTTGCATGGACAAAACATGACTAGAATTTAATTTGCTTCTACTTCTCATCAAGTAAATGCAACAGAAAATGTAGAACATGGGAGAAAGCTGTCCAATGGAGCATATCATGGCTTTGTTAATCGCCATTGTGATTGTTACTTTGAACATTGCCCATGAATCATGATACCATATCATTTCGCTCGTTTCAATTTCAACTTAAATTATATTTTTTATCTCACAATTCTTACGTTAACGTTTCATTTATGTGTAATTTCAACCTTCTCAATTTTATGGTTCTTAGCACTAATAAATGGTGTTAAATGTAACGAAAAACTAACTTTGACTTTGATGTTGCGACTGATATATAGCATTGATCTAGTTACAATCTTTTTAATATTCATTGATGTTGGGATACAGATACAGTCTCACATTGATAAACTTTAGGCACAGAGTTTAAAAAGTGAAAAGTGAAACTATGATGGTAGAAATATGAAGAGGTTTGTTGAACTAATTAACAATAAACTACATCGACTATATTGAAAATAATAAATTAGAGTACAAAGGACTCGATACAAATGAGAAAAGTATAGAGACAAAATACAATTTAAAGAAACAAACTAGCTCGTTTACCATTTGCTAAACGTTCGAAAACATAATGGATTAAAATGACAATTCAACCAGCAAAATCAACATTTAAATTTGTTGAAAGTATCAATTATGGAATTCATTCAATTGAGCTTCAAACTCAAAGCATAATGGAGGTTTCTTTATTCAACTACTTACATATAATGCAAGCCAAGAAGAGAGAGAACAACAACAACAACTTATTCTCTCATTTCCCAAATGACACTACATGACAAATCCCAAGCATGATAAAACAAAAAAGTTGAAGTCTCAAACCTTTTTATTCAAGTTGAACCGATAGGAAAAGTAGAGATCTTGCACCCAAAGTGGAAGCCAAGAAAGCAAAGATAACAAGCCACTCAAATGCCCCAACACAATTTGCCTTGGCGGCCTCTTCTTCAGCACTTTCTTCACAACATCTCTAGCAAACACCCCTGCATCAGTCGATCTCCCACTCTGTGATGCATTAGCTCTCTCCTCTATGGCTTCCTTAAACCCCTTGTAAAGCTTCCATTCTTGACTCCTCGCATTCTCAACTGTGGCGCTCCCAAAATTAGACCTTATGGCTCCGGGTAGCACCATCACTACGTCGATCCCGAATGGCCTCAACTCGAGCCGCATCGTGTGCGACATGGCATGGACGGCCGCCTTGCTAGCGCAGTACGACCCTGTCCACGGCGTTGGCACTTTTCCGACTATGCTTCCGACGTTGACTATGATGCCGCTTCCGCGATGGGCCATATGGGGCACCACTTGTTGTACCATCCTCAGCAGGCCAAGTGTGTTGACTTCCCAAGCCTTCCTCACGGCCTGCAGCGGAAGCTCGGCTAGCGGGCCAGCGCTCCCGATCCCGGCATTGTTTACCAAGATGTCTATACGCCCACACTTGGAAATTATGGTCTCCACGGCTTTTGCTACACTTTCATCAGATGTCACGTCGAGTTCTAGCATTTCGATTCTTTGGGAACATAGGTCGAACACCTCGTGGGCACGTTTGGGGAGGTCAGTGGCGAAGACATGGCAGTTGTGGTCGGCGAATGCCTTGCAGTATTCGAAGCCAATGCCGCCTTTGCCGCAGCCGGTGACTAGAACGACCTTTCTGTTGTCCATAGCTCGAGATTTTGTGGCCACGATGATGGGATCGTTGTTGATGATGGTGGTGGTGATTTGAACGGCTGTGTGGTGAGGATATGCTTTGGGGCATATGCTTGACATGAATTATGCTTGGCCGGCAATGGTGGCAGAGCCAACAACTAAATTCCAAGGAAATGTCATAGTGAAGATAAGGTGCAGTTGTAAGCGTTGGGTCGGTAAAAGAGTGCGAATAAAGTTTTACATTTGCTAAGGGGATGGACGATTCATGATACATAAAAGAAGATAATTATCTCGTGCAAGACTTTGTGGGTGAAATAAAAAACAAAACCGTGAGGGCGTTATGTCCATATCATACCATTATAGAGATACTTGAGATACCGTTATCCTTAACATTAAACAATTACAACTTTTTCTGATGTTGGTTGTTTTAAAATATCTATTTTAGTTTTATTGGGATTGGTGGAGCTAAATCAACGTCGAAACGAGTCAGGATTGAGTCGAGACAAAGCGGGAATGAAAATCAATGAAAAGGGCATTGCATGCCATTTTGGCTGAGGGAGTGGCACCGCAGCACTGGTGCGAAATCAAAGAAACATAAAATGGGGCAGCTGCGCTCAACGCTCCGAACATACAAACATTGACAAAAAGGCGCATGAGCATTTAGGGTTACCCGGGTATGTGAAGGGTTAGTAGCAACACCCAAATTTGGGGGGTTTTTGGCAGCAGACTTGTAGCAGCAACTCAGGTATTGACAGCACAAAGAAGGCATATCGAGATTGATGTTTATGGGGTAATTGTATCTCGATATTATTTTGTGAGTATTTTCACTAATGTACCTAAGTATAGTGTTAAATACTTAGAAGCTAGGGGTTTTTGTTGGAACCTCTAGAAAGCGAGTATTTGTGAGGAGATATATTTGAGAGTGCTTGTATCCAATCTAATTATAGTGGAACTCACATTTGAGTGGAACACCAGACGTGTAACCCATAAACTATTGGGGTGAATCAGTATAAATTTGTTTTATCATTTTATCGCTTTCCCTATATTTCTCTTTTGTGTCGTGTGATTGACTTAGTTAACTAGATATAACTGTTAACTGGATATAATTGTGGAAGCTAAAATTATTTGGAGCACCTAATTTTTCAATACTACTCAGAAAAAAACAATTTTTACTTTGGTCCATGCCTAATAAACGTACACATTGATAATGTGAGCTTTCTGTTGGGATGAGTAAATACGAGTAGAATAATTTTAGCTACTAAATATAAGAGGGATTAGACTAATTCCTCAAATTCTATGTTAAAACTCAATCAGTCAAGTATTTAGACACTTAAGGAAGATGTCGTTCTATTTCATTAGGGGTGAGCAAAGCAGTTCGAAAAAACGAACTGACCGACCAAAACCGATCGAACCGACATCCATTGGTTGGTTTGATGAAGGATTCGGTCAGAGTCAATTTTTCATTTATAAAACTTATTTTTTTGGTCGGAAAAGTGATTTCCAACCGAACCGACTGACATTACCTTTTTATTTTTTAATTTAATTTAATTTATACATTGTTATTTTATTAATATTTTAATTTATATATTGTTATTTTATTAATATTGCAAAATTTAATTAAGATGTGATTAAATTTTTTGTTTTTTATTTTAAATTTTGATTAAAATGTCATTTAAAGTCTAAAAGTTTAAAATTATATTAAAACCGATTAAAATGTCATTTAACTTATCGTGTTTCATCTTCGTATGTTCTATAAAATAACATTTAAATTTAATATAAACTAAATCGATAAAAAATTATTAAATTAATAGAAACCTAAAAGTCAAGATATAAATTACATGAAATCCATATGTTTTGTCATTTGCATGGCGAAGTATATGGCTTTAAAAATCCAAATTTTGGGATATGTATAATTAGGGTTTTGTTTGTTTTATAATTATTTTGTTTTAAATTATTGCATTACAAGAATATTTCCATTATGTTGTAGGTAATTCATGAGCTATTTTCCAAATATGGAGAAAATTAAGATGATAGTCTTTTTCTTAAATTATGATTTTTTAAATAAAATTAAAAAAAAAGAGCAAAGGGATATTAGTGGGGAGTGGAGGCTTACAACTTCTACATTCAAAAAAAAGAGAGAAGAAGAGGTGGGACTTCCAAATTTAACCAAAAACAAAGGGCCGTCGTGGCTCCATTAGTGCCACGTCGGGAGAAGTCGCAGCCATGCTGCGATTTTAGTGAAATCGCGGTCAATGATTGTGATTTCGACATCAGTCGCAGGCAATACGATGAAATCGCAGCCATCGTCTGTGATTTTGGGCAAATTGCAGCCTATTCCTCGTTTTTTGCGCAAATCTTTTGTAATTATTTTGAAACCTACACTAGTTTTGTCATTTGTTTTTAAAAATAATTATTTAAAAAAAATCCGTTTTCAAGGTACCTTTCAAAAAAAAATTAATCTAATATTTTTTATCTTTATTCCTTTTTTCCCCTCTCTGCTCGTTCTTTCCTTCTTATTTTTACTTCTTCTCATCCCTATTTTTCTTCCTTTTCTTCTTCATTCTTCGTCTTTCCACCTCCCTAGTCTCTATTCTTCTTCCTCATCTTGTTCTTCATTCTTCCTTCATTTCTCTTCTTTCTAGCTCTTGAATCGACATACTACTATGTCTCTCTCAATTTTTTCTACTTCGTTTTGCACAGAAGCCTAACTACGGCTCCGACACCAACATCTTCATAAAAAAAATTGTTACAAAATAGAGGGAGTTGGTTTCTAAGGTCAGTTTTTAGTGTCGGGGTCAGCCAAAAAGGGACCCGTCTGACCGATGCTCACCCCTACATTTAATGCTCGTTTCTTCGTTTCTTTTGTGAGACTTCATTTCCATTGCAATGCACACATGTTTAAGAGCGATTTGAGCAAAGACAGAGCTATCAATTTCTCTAGAATTTCAATGGTTTGGGATTTGGTTGTAACTGTTATATCCTCTTCTATTGGGTACATTTCCATAGTATTCATCTATGTTAGGAATGTACACGGGTTGGATTAGAGGACTCCTCCCTGATGTATCAGAATCAGCCTAGCAAAAACCAACCCAACCTTTATTCTTTATACTTTTGGGTTTGGTTGGATTATATCATCTGAGTTGCAAAAATTTTAGATTTTTCTCGTGGCTCAAGTGGCTAGGAGAATAGGAAGATGAGAGAGAAACTCGTATTGCAATATGTGAGGAAATCTCTAAAAATCGAAACGGATTCAGCCATAGTGCTTATTCTCAATCCAAAGTAGAAGTGTAGTTTTGGTTTATGTTAGTCCCACATCGGTGAAGTGCAAAAGAAGAGAGGCGCGGGTGGGGTATAAAAGCGGATGAACGGGCCACGAAACAACATACTTACCTGGACGGGGTCTTTGGGCGATCAGCAAGGCCCATGGCCTAGGTTGGTGACCTCCATTGCACTCTAGGAGGGGTGCCCGCCTAAGGTCTGCCCAAAGTGGCAGAGCCTACGTCATAATTTGTGGTAGTGGGGGCCTGCGTCCGCGCGGCCCCTGCCCAATTCTAATTCTAATGTTTCCACCCACTAATTTTGGGTTGTGGGGAGAATACTTTCTATTCGAACTCCTGAATTCCGATTAAGTATTTGATCGGTTTGTTCCAGAATTAACAATTATAATTTAGTTTCAATTTTTTTTATGGTACAGAAAATTTAAAATAATTAATAAATTTTTAGAAACATTTCAAATTTACTCTTGTTTTTTATCATTCGGGCTAGAGTGTTACAAAATGAGTCCTAATAGAATGCATGGCATGTTGGAATATTAGGTATATACTAAAATAGATTTTCCTATCAAATTTTTAATATAAATTCTTAATTTCATCAAAATAAGTGGTTCATTGATTAACTCACTAATTTTAACAAAAAGAAAATATAAAAACTCAAAAAAATTCACTAATTTAATGAAAATATCAAGCTGGGCACAAAAAAAAGACAAAAAAAATTCTTGTATTTTCGTTTTTCTATCTAATTTCAAACTAACTATATATTTTATAATTCATTTGAACATTACTTTTTCAACAAATTTTCAAATAAAAATTATTATATCGTAAAAATTACAACATTTTCTAATGTTTACGCTGAAATTACAACACCTGTCAAAGTTTACGGTGCAATTTAATTAAATTAAAAATTTAGGTAAAAATTGGTACACATTGTCAAGTCCAGCATTAACAACGACCTTGTTCCTGTATAATTTATCAATAGAATGAATATTTTAGAGATCACTCTTTTTAATTCCAAAGTCAAATAAGACTATTGAAAATACTTATTAACGTGTTAACTTGTATATAACTTAATGGTCAAGCCATCTACATCCCAGTGCGGTAAAATTTCAAAACCCTACAAGAAAAATACAAAACTCAAAAAAAATTTCTTTTAATTATTATCCACTTATGAATTAATTAGTAAATTAACTCTAAAATAAAGAATATAAAAAAAAACAAAATTGTATTCTTTATTTCAAATATGCATTTGGTAGCAGATTTGGTATTTGAATCTCAATTCAAATTTGTTCACCTAAACTAGCAGTAGTTACAATTAAATATCTAATTTAATCTAAAATAATATTAAATTAATTTATTAACATTTTTGTATGAATTTTGTATAATTATTATTTTACAACGTTGTATAATTTATAATATATTATATTTTACGTGTTTTAATTTTAATAAAAATAAAATAAATTTATAAAATGAAATAATATATTTATCAAAAATTTTATCTTTTTAATGTAATTCAACCTCATATTCCAAATTCAAAAACATTTCCAAATACATATGGAGATTCGAACTCATTATTTATTGATCCAAACGCTGACTAGGCTCATATTGGCCATATTGATGAATATATTATTTGATGTTATGAACCCATTTCAATTGTTTTCTTTTTTAAACTTTAAAACATGTAAAATTAATATATTATAAATAATATAATATTATAAAATAATAATTATACAAAATTTATAACATATATTAATAGATTAAAATATTTTAGATGGAACGTTAGTATCATTTGTATATTACCCGAGCTAAATAATTTTTAACTTGAGATTTGTTTGGGGAAGGGAATACCCTGGACACGTGGAGGACCCCTATTGGTGCTCCAAGATGGCTCATGAGTCATGCCCAGCTTGAATAGCCGAGATGGCCGCCACCAACGCCGACAAATGCTAAGTATGGGGGCCGAGGTGAACCTGGCCCAGGTCTGACCTA